ACAAGTGAGAAACAGAGTTAAACATGGTGAAGGATTTACAAAATAAATCACTGCAACAAACTGACAGATTGTAATAAAGACAAAAAAATATATAAGAAAAAAGAGGGTAGAACCATAAAAACAAAGGTAAAAGTATTAATAGTGGTAATAAGTTACATAAATAAATACTAAAGAGTAAAACAGATAAATAAAATAGTCAATGTAACATAAAACCATGTCTATAAAAATGTGTTTCAAGAAGTGATTTCAAAAAACATACAGCAGACTCCAGCGTTTGCAGCATCGTGTCACAGATTTGTCAGAAGCAAAGCTTCTAATGTTAGTTTGTGAACATAAATAATTAGCGGTGCACCCCGATCACCGAGAGCCGACTTTCCACCGATGTAATCACAGCTTTAACATCCAGGAAGCACAGCGTCAGCCAGATGTCGGCAAGGATGTGGGCTTCAGCTCCAGCTGTGGCATCGAACCATAACATCTTCTGATAGTTTGCCATTAAAAACAGGCCACACATCATTTATACTTATTATTCCATCATAATAATAATTTACAAATTGCATTTAGTTTTAGTCTGTTTCATTTGGCAGCAAGAAAAATAAGTAGTTATCCATTTAGGAGCTCCAGATGTTGCTTCTGATTTCACTGAAGGCCTCACGCGCCCACACAGGAGTTGTTCTTCTTAATTAGACTCCAGCTCAGGGCGAAGGTGGGCCGAGAGTCACGCTGGAAACATCATGATCGCTAATAAGACTCATAAATGGAACAATTATAAAGTTCTCTGCATGTAGGAGCTCAAAGAAATGATGTTAGAAATTACTATTTTAGCACCGTCATTAATTAAGAGCAGAGAAGTGAATCAAATGAAATATACAACATTTAGAGGACACCATATCAATCAGTCTTTTCTGTGGAGGTCTAATCAGTCAGATGAAGTTAAAAGGCGTGTGTGGGTGGATTTAAAGCTTGTTGGAGCAAATTGTACAGCAGATATGAATATTTAAATCAGAATCAGAAACAGGTATAGTTAACACAATACAAGGAGTTTGTTCTAGTGGGTTAGTGTAAAAAAAAACAACAACAACAATAAATATAGAGTAAACAATAAATATATAGTAAAATAAAGTAAAAGTAACTGTAATAGTGCAAGAGTCAAAGTTAAATCTAAGCAGCAGGATATTAGTGTGGCCCCAAATACCTGCAGCTAATGTGGAAAATGGAGTTTGGAGATTATTATTTTTGTTATTGTTTTGGCCTTTATTGGATAGTACAGTGAAGACAGACAGGTAAGTGTGGGGGAGAAGAATGGGGAAGGCCCTGCAGCAAAGTGTCCTGAGCCAGACTCGAACTCACCACCACCGGGTCGGGGACTTCAGCCCCTCTAATGGGACGCCAGCTCAACCAGGTGAGCCATCGCGGTGCCCTAAGATTATTTTATTTACCTCGAAAATGATGCTGAAGAACAATGAGCCCCGGCTGTACCTCCAGATCAGCTGCTGACTGGTGATGAGAGTCCTGTGGAGCCTCCTGGTGGTACGAAGACACTCCGACATGCTCCGGATGTTGCCCCGCTGCTTTTTGAACTACACCATGCAGAGAACTAGTTGCAGTGTGACGAGGGCCCGCTAAATTCTGCTTTGCTGTTATGCAATGATGACAGAAATGATTGAAAAAACATATGCAGGGCTTTGTGAAGCAGCTACATCTGCTATAAAAATGACTAGAAGAAGGATTTAAGGGTGGATTCACCGTCTGGTCCGACAGAAGGAAGAAGTCAAAACACATACAAATGTTTTTGTTGTTGTTTTATTATCACAGAAGCACAACAGGTACCACTATGCAGGTGAACAACAAACTCAATACTATAGTGAAAAAAAAAAATGTTAAAGGAATGCTAATCCAAGAAACAGAAAAATCCAATCATAACATCACAGCATTTTTTTTTCTTTTTCAATCTCCAAAAACAAAAACAAAAAAAAAATCTACAATATATTGTCAGATATACACGGCAGAAAGAAGCAAAAGCACTTTGGATTATTCACTTTCCCTTCACTTTGTACCAATACACTCATCGTAAGATCTCGAAGCGCCTACGTCAGACACATGCCATCGCACTCATCTGCTCACTCCACATCTGTCTACATGGATTCGCTATCCAGCTATTAAGTACCAATCATTGGGGATGTTGCTCCGAAAGTTTCAAAAAAGGGCTAACTGCGAGGATATTAGTCCGACAAAATAAAACTGGTCCCGCTGAAGAGTGTTTTGTTATTCAATTCAGAGAGAAAAAACAAAAAAGGAGTAATTTAAAGTCATTTAGCCAATCAAAAGAAAGCTGGAGTACCCGAGTGTAAACCTGATGACCTTATTGTTGTACATTCAAGAAATGAAGAATCCTCCGTCTCAATCTGTCATGAAAAGAAGAAATAAAAAAAAAAGACTCGACGAGAAATTAAACTAGCTATGATAACTGCAATATGATTGTAAGTCCAAAAAACAAAAACAGAATTCCCTCCTTTTTAGACGACAACACCGACAAATCTTGAATGGAAACAGTATAATAAAACACACAAAGATAGATGCTGGAACCAGGAGATACACAGCGTACGTATTCCCTTGAACACAAGAAGAAGAAGAAGAAGAAGAAGAAGAAGCATGGGGGGGTGGGGTAGGGGGGGAGTGAGTACTTGCATACAGAGAGCTACAGCCCTGGATTTAACACAGACCGCCATCTATGTGAGGAACTGTAGAGAAAAAACATACAATGGGAAGAAAAGGATGTAAGCAAGGGGGGGGAGGAGGTGGAGAGGTTGTCTGGAGGGCTACTCCTCGTCCGAAGAGTCCCTGTCAAAATTGTAGGCCATGAAGAAAACATCGGGTCGAGGTGGGACGAGGGCATGGCCCGGTTTCACAATCTCAAAGCCCAGAAAACTGAAGGTACGCACCAGTTTAGCTGGAAGGAAAAAAAGACAAGATTCGATGAGTGAGGACGCCAAAATAATTATCAAATGCTGAGCTGTGGGTGGGATAGGTGGGACGACGAGGCCGTTAGCACATACCACGATCATCTCTGTTCTTGTAAAAGCAGACAAACACGCTAACGACTTTCAGATGTTCTTCAGCATACTCGAGGAGCGCCGCGAAACTGGAGGGAGAACAGAGGGCAGCTTGGGTTAGCGAATGGAAAACAATGTTGCAACGAGCAGGCCGAAAACAAAACCCGAGTGTCTGGCTGCAGCTCAAGGTTTCTCCTCGAAGGATTAAATGCAGTTTGCTGATTATTTTTAAAGGCTGCGCCCTGACTTCACCTCTAATGTTTCAAAGTGATATTTAACAAATAATCAAGGGTCCATGCGGCCCCGCTGGGAGGATGCACAGGCTGCCAGGGTCCTATTAACAAAAACACAAACACGTTCAAAGTTTAATTGCCTGCTAACGCTTATGCAACTCACCTCTCCTTGCTGCCTTCAGGAAGAGGGTCAAGAGGTATCTCCACATAGAGTGCACTGCTGCTCAGGACAGCATCCCACTGTATCGTCTTGGTAACGGTGGGACGGCTTTGGAAGTGGAGAATCCCAGGGCGACCATTTCCAGCTGGCTCTTCCGTTACGGTCAGCTTTCGGTCCTGGAACATAAATAAAAACACCGACTGTGTAAACGGCTGTGGGTAACATGAAGTGTATCGGTGTCATATAGACGCCATGTTTCTTTTTTTGCTGTTCAGCTCTGATGGAAATGTGGCCAAAAAAACACACGAGCACGTGTGGAAATAATGCGTCTCTGCTGAGCGCTGATGGCTCAATCAAGCAAAAACCGCTGGTGTGCCTCCTCGCCGCTCTGCTTTGTTGATCCCGTGACAGGAAATGGTTTCAGTGAGGAAGAAGCCTGTATGCTTGAGACACATCTTCTTCCGATAACAACAGCCTACTCTCTCTCTGTTTGCGCTACAGCTAAGATAGCGTGGGACTTACTGAGTAGAGCGGCCGAGCTGAAGGAGCGTGATCCCGTGTGCCATTCCCTCGCCCACCTGGGATCTTCAGGGGTGGGAGAGGGGCATCAGGAGCACCACAGAGGCCCCGGGCCGCGGGTACTACTACAGTGCAGGGACAGGCTGGAAGGGGCAACACAGAGAAGAGTTAATCACTAAAATGGACTACGTTTCATTTCATTACAAGCAAAGACATTTGATGGGATGTTTACTCAGACAAACATAGACTCTGTGAAGAACTAACGCAATATTCAAGGATTTAAGGTCTTTTATTGGTCACAAACACAGTTATACACGGTGTAGCGCAAAGTGAAATGTGTTGTGCACCTGTTCCACAACGAAACAGTAAGATAAATAAGAGTAAGGAATAAAAGACACAAGAAATAAAAGGGAATAAAACAGATAAAGAAAATAACAATACTATATACAGGTGCAAAGTGTCCGGTTGGATTGTTACTGACTGGTGCATATACAGTATTTTCTGGGATTATTCCTACAACTAAATCATTGTTGCTCTTTGCTTCACACAATGACGACACCTTTATTTTGTCAAAGCTAACAAAGCCCGACCATTTCCATGCAGCTCGCTGTAATGTTTGGTTTGAATTGTTAACTGTGTCAACACTGCATCAGATTAGAACTCGACAAAACACCACTTTGTCACGTCTCAAAAGCAACAATCTAAGCACTGTGGCACAGGGCTGGTCCGAACAGCATTTTCTGTTCTCCGGATATTCGGGCCAATTGATAACGAATATCCCGGAGATAAAAATTGATATCCTGATTCCAGCACAGCGAGCGAGTAGTCGGCTATTCGGGTCCGGCCCGACTGTGGCACCACATATGCTTTCAGTTCCTTGTCTGACAAGCTGCTGTAGTTCTTATCTTATCGAGCTCGACCGCAATTTGAGAAAGTTTCGGTCAGTGTGCTGTTGATTTAAGCAAACAGGCTGTGCTTAGCAAACGAGAATGTCTCGTTTTGCCGCATTAGCGATAAGATGTTAAAAACTTTAGACCAACAAACACTGATGCGTCTCAGTGCTCAATCCACAGCGTGTGTTAAACCAGCAGGCCTCAACCGTTTACACTTTATGTTCACCAAAACAATAGCACTCTGTTTACAGAGCTGTTAACAGAGCATTTAAAAGAGCAGCGCACCGGCGCTGAAGGATGCGGTGGGAGGCGACCAACCGCAAGTATTTGCTGCTAAAAAGCACAAAACCCCCCCAGACTCCCGGTTTTAACTCGAATGTCAGTGTGGTTAGTTAAAACAGCCAGAGTAAGTTAGAGCTGTTAACAGAGCCAGCCTCTAATATCTACCAAATGTCCACAAACAGTTGTTGTGCTGTAAACACCGTTTTGCTGTATCCTGCGGTGTGCTTTCATAGTCAAAGTCGTGAGGAATTAGAAGTCCAAATCGCTGTAAGAACACAGTGTGAATCAAAATATTGCTGTAGCTGATGGTGTGACACGACTAGCTAACAACTAACTGTGAGATGGAAGATTTATATTTTAGTACAGCGGCGGGTCTCACCCGATTTAAAGATTATACATATCAATTAATCTGACCCTTAATTTGTTGTTTAATGGATTATTCGTTTGCTCTATAAAATGACCAAAAAAAGGTGAAAAACATCCGTAATAATTAAGTCAGAGGTGATCACAGAAGACAGACTTTTTCCACAGCATCCATTTTAATATGAAACACAGATGTTACTGAAGACATAATTTATTGTTTTGTTCTATTTAGGAACAGAAGCTTTGTTCATGTCATTAGTAACATTTGTGTTTACGAGTTTATGATAAAATGGCGGCAGTGAAAACGTTCTACTGCTGATCCTGATGCTCAGTTTACTGACACATAAGAAAAAAAAGAAAAAAAAAGAGGAACAAATTCTAACTTCTTATTTTACTCACAGCTGTTCTTATTTTAGTTGATTTTTTCACATTTAAATGTTCTAAATGATGTTTATATATAATTTTACTAGCTTAGGCTTTTATTATTGTCAGACTAGTTTCTTATTTGTGTGCCAGCATCTTAAACTTTCTTACTCAGGTAGACTGTAAACAACACATCCCACGCCTCCATGTAGTCTGAGATTTAATAAATGTTTGAATGAATAGATAAAAAAATCTTACAATAAACTAAGGAATGTGAGACATTTCTGCTTATAAACAAACAGTGATATTCTATTTTAAATATGTTTGGGCTTGGATTTGTGATTATTTTCTTTGTCGAATTATCTGCTAATAATTTTTGACTATTGTTTTTGTCTCCATAACTGTGAAAGGTGCTTATTATTATTATTATTATTATTATTATTTCCTGCAGCTCACACTTTGCTTTGTTCCATCAACAGTCCATAAAACAAACACACTCAGTTTGCAATCATTATAGGACAAAGAAAAGCATCAAATCGTCACATTTAAGAGGGTCTAATTAGGCAGTTTGTTTTAAATTTCTACTTCTAAAAAAATGAATAGCTCAATCAAATCAAAATAATTGCAGATTAATTCCGGGCATGGCCAAACAACACTGTGATTGTGACAGCTCTACCTTATATTCCAAGTCGATGGGTTTTACATAATGATCTTGCACCTCTTGGTCGGGTTAAAGATGAATCAGTTCAATATAGAAACTGCACTTTGATACAATGCAATTAGCATATGGCAAAGGCTGCAATTTAGATTACACATTATAGATTGCATCTGATTGCCGGTTTGTTTTTTTACTGACATCATTACTTTAATGTGACTGCAGAATGTGCAATACTGAACTGCTGCTAATGAGTCATGAGTACTGATTCATTGTCATAAACTGTTTACAGAAAGGCCCTGATATTTTTCTGATGAAACAAATTAGCTTTTTATTATTATTGATCTACCAAATTAGCACAATCATAGCTGCCATTGTGCCATCTTCTATGTCATAATATAAAGGAGTCGCTATGATGATGTGATAATGATGGACCACATATTTTAAATGATATAATAAATACTCAGGCTTTAAAAATGAGATCGTAAATTTCAAGGCTTGTTAGAAAAATCGTAATTAGATTAGCCTTCTGTAACTTGATTCCGAACCAAAGTTCAATCTGTTTCTTGGCCTTTAGTAATGGACCAACTAATCGATAGCACAAATAATTAAGGTATTAAATTATCAACAAGGAGCGTCCTTGTGGCTGACAGCAGTGTTTTCACAGAGATCCATCAGCGTCTCTGTCCTCACGCCGCCTGCGGCACTAAAACGGTGGTTGCGTAATAGCCAACCTGACTCCGCTGTCAGCGCACGAGGTCGAAGTGGTCAGGAACGTTCTCACCTGACGACGTTTTTGTCAAGCCGGTGTCATTTTTCTCTCGCCTTTTCCGGAGACACCAGATGTTACAAGAAATAACACCGTGAGCTCGGGTTTACTTGGGTGCCAGCGCTCTCCCTGTTTTGAGGCGTGTCTGGACCGATTAACGGACACATCTGAGCGTCTCCAATGTCAAATATTTGACGTTACGCTCGTGTTGTTGGACGTTAACTTACTAGAACGTGGGGAATTATTTCCCTATTGCGATTACATTTTCCTGAACTGGAGTCAGTTTCCAGTATCTCACACGACACACCTATTAATAGCTTCCCGTTTCAAGTTTCCACAACAAAAACACTAAAACTGTTAATTGTTAGCTAGCTGACGCAGTGACGTAACACAAGTTCGACGACGATACTAGCTAACATGAGCTAACGCTGCTAAAGTTGTTTCTCGGGCCACAAAACGAATGACTATAATTATAACATGACAGCATTTGAAATAACATTATAACAGAGTGTAACGTAATGCTAGGCTAGGCTATTGCTAACACTACGCATTAAAGTAAGCAGTACATTTAAATGCCGTTTACTTCCGCTTTTCTGTGGCTGCTCGCTGCGCTAGCTTAGCCACCCCTCCCCCACATCACGGTTAGCAGTAAGCTAGGTGAGGTATTTTCCATCGTTTACTTACTTCCCAATCATGTCACAGATGTTACTACTTAGATCCGCCATGGTAGTAATGGGCTGCTGTTTTCCTTCTTTCTCGCGAGCAAAGCAATGACTGTTTAGGATCCGCTGGAGGTTGGATTTTACCATCCGGCCTCGGGTAGAGACACGACGGGCTGACTGCTCTCTGCTGTGCTCCGCTGGGTAGTGATCGGGCAGAGAGCTGGGAGCTGTTAGATAAGGAAGAAGTCAAGGTACACACAGGCACACCACATCAGCTTCCTCTGTGATGTCAAAATAACAGTGAGATAGCGAGAAAAATACCTATTTGGTGCTATGATTTCGTGCACAATAGCAGTCATAACATTGCTAACATTATTAAAAATCGTCATTGCTATTATGACAAAAAAGTGCTGAATTGCAAACTATGGCTTCAACTAATATTTGCTTATAAACTGCTGAAAAATGTCCATCAGTGTTTTCCATAAGCCAAACTGACTTCCTGAAATGTGTTGTTTTGTCAAAACCCAGTTCACTGTCAAGGAGGAGAAACCAGAATAGCAAAGACCAGAATATATTCAAATTCAAATAGTTGGAATAAGTGGATTTTAAGCTTTTATTCTTTAAAAAAGTACTCAAACAGATGAATCAATTGTCAGAAATAGCTTGCAATTAATTTAGTAAATGATAACTAATTGATTAACTATTGCAGCTCTATTACAAAGCACAATAATATAGTTGCATTCATGCAGTACAAGAAGGTTTATAGTTAATATAGTTTTAATATTACTGCTGTATTGTGCATATAATATTTAGCATTACAACAGTGCAATTGATCAAAACATAGCATCTGTGATTTATTATTTGTATTTGTGTATTTTATGTATACAGGCCACATATACCATTTATGCTTTGTGCAAGTTCTGTTTTTGAAAATGTAAACAGAAAAAATAACGCATGACCTTAGCTATGGGCACAATTCACTCAACTTCACGTGCAGTATTAACAACACCATAGATGACACCAGTCACCTCATTTATACGTTTATTTACAGTACAAAAGTCACATGGCAGTCTCAAGGTTATGCTCTGGTATAGATCCCATGGAGCCAAACTGATGTTTGTGTAGCTGTGTGTGGAGTGTCTGTGAATCACAACTTCTGTTCCCGTCTGAAACCAGCATACAGTGTTTTGACAAAAGTAATCTTAGGCAACAGGTTTCACAAGCATTTTAGTCACATTGCCTCATGACCTGTGGAATCTGCTGACATCTGTGACTCTGAAAGCCCTAAAAACACAGTCTGAGGACCGTTTGAATACCTGAGTTAAGATTGTGTGGTCAAAGTGTAGTTTTACAAGGTTAAAAATCAATCTACACCTTCAAGCACGGTGTAAGGCACAATTACTGTCTTTGGATTTTCTGCAGAAACATGCATCATTCGCAAAATATTGTTGAAAAATAATATTAGTATTATTAAAGCATAAAGCAGAATGGGTCACTGCAGTTCATGTGTATATGAGCAGCAGTACTGTGTTCTGCTAATTAAATGAATGTAATACAAAAGCAGTTTCTTGCTTAACACAGGATATGTCAAAAAAACACCCTTTTTTGTTCTATTTCGCTTTTATTACTTACAAATGTAATTCAAATCCATTTCCCTTAACATATAAACGGAGGCTGTTATGTTGACACAGGAAGTCGCACTTACAGCTAGGCCTAAAATAAGCTAGCCTTATACTAGCATGCAAATGCTAACCGTGCTAAGACGCTAAACGTAAGGATGGGTGAAGATGCTAGTCAAGACCATGACCGTAACTTATACCTAAGAAAAATGACCGTGACCCGTGACCAAAAAATAAAGCATTTATCAAAATATCAGCAACATCATCACGAGTGTCGTCATTTTACAATTACACTTCATTTAAATGTTTAAACAAACTGCGTTTCTTTTCCGTTTCTCGCCTTTAGCTTTAGATGCTAATCCGAATAAACAAACAGGTTAGCTTGTTAGCAGCCGTCAAGCGGCCAGGGGGCGTCTAATGGAAAAGTACCGCTGAGAGAAAAACTTCGAACAAAGACACTGCAAACGTATGTTTTCCTTATGATTAATAAACTCACATTGATGCCAATTTTATCTTACGTGGATACCGTTGTTGAAAATGCATTTAAATCAATTGGGCATTTGTGCAGTAGTGGAAAATAAATACATTTAGGTTCAGTTTTTTTTTTTCTTTTTCTTTTTTTAACCTAAGAACTACTTGTACTATTTTTAGATAATTTTGTTTTACTGGAATATTTCCATTTTATGATTACTTTGGAGATTAAAACTTAACCTAGGCCTATTTTAGTTTTTTAAATATGCAAATTATACTGATCCACTGTATAAAGGAAAGTCTACAGCTTAAGCTTATCATGATACAGTACTGGCAAAAGCCAATGTGTAAGTTTTGCTGTTGTTGTTGTTGTTGTTGTTGTTATATAATCAAGCACTTGTATTCTCAAATAAGTAACATAATGAATGCCATAACCTTGAATGGTGTATTTATATTTCTGGAGTGTAGTTAGGTGATCTAAATACGTCTTCCTATAAGGATTTTCACACTTAAATGCCATTAAAAGTGTCAGAAAACCATTTTCAGGTAATAATATTTAATTTTATTGTGTAATTTGCACTGTATATTCTTATTTACTTCACCTTGTTGCCTATTTAAGGCCCTGAAAAATCCTGGTGGTTATGTGTATGCTCACAGCTGTTTGTTTTGTTTATATGTCAGTTAATCTGACTTAACTGATCATCTTAGTTAAAATTAACTTCTACCACGAAATGCTTTTAATTAATACTAATTCAATGTGATGAAAACAGATGACATGAGCAAAATGTTGAATGTTTGCTTTGCCTGTTTAATCCACAAGGTGGCGACAAAGAAACATGAGTTCCCCTCATTCAGCAATGACATAACTCTCAGTGTTTGTGTGAAATAATTCTGACTTTAGTTCAGAACTGGCTTGTAAATAAGAGCAGATATTCAAGATTACTATTTTAGGTGAATTATAGTTGGTGTATGCTTCCAAATGTATTAGTGTAAAATGTTTGTACATGTAATTGACCCCACTCATGGTGCACTTGTCAGGTGGCATAATGACATGTAACATCCATCCATTATCTATACACCACATAATCCTCACTAGGGTCGCGGGGGGCTGGAGTCTATCCCAGCTGACTCAGGGTGAAGGCAGGAGACACCCTGGACAGGTCACCAGTCTATCGCAGGGCTACACTTAGAGACAGACAACCAAGCACACTCACATTCACACCTTCCGTCAATTTAGAATCACCAATTAACCTCAACTTTGGACTGTGTGGGTGGAAGCTGGAGAACCCGGAAAGAACCCACGCTGCACGGGGAGAACATGCAAACTCCACGCAGAAAGATCCCGGATGTCCTCACCAGGATGTGAACCGGCGACCTTCTTGCTGCGAGGCAACAGTGCTAACCACCGTGCCAGTTGCAGCCCAAAACAGTCAAACATGAGTCTTAAAATTAGGGATTCAAGAGGAAGCTGACTAAGATGGGAAAGATCTAAAGATCACAGAGATGAATGTCCTTTTCTTGGATGGTGGATGGAGTGAGTTATCTCTTAAACGCTTCCTAAACACAGTTTGAGGGGTTTGAAATGTGTTAATGCCAAGTCATGGTCTGCAAGACAACATCTCAACACCAGGGATGAATCTGAATGCATCTTATCAGTCAGGTGTGTTTACACATACAAAGAACCTGACTCCAGAACTCTCTCTGTGTTAATAGTCTGATACTGAATACGTGTTTACAGGAGTATTTAGATAAAGAAGTACAGTGATATAAAATAGTGATATAAAGTAGACACTACAGGGGTGATCATATTCCAGATATCTTGCAAGGGTGAATGAGTTAGCAATCTTTAGTAATAAAACACCTTTTTCTGCATTTCCAGACTACAACACTACTAACTGCAGCCTCAGAAATACAACAGCAGTGGGATGCAATTGGGTGCAATTTTGTAAATATAACACTTAATCCTGAGGTACATTCAATCTTACACTCAACTACTCTTTTTTTCCTCTGAATAAATCTCACAAATGTGATTTTACAGGTTACTTTAAAGGCCCTTCATGGCCTCTGTGTTTGCTATATCTAGATGTTGGAGTACCAATACACACTGCAATGCACTTTGAGACCCTCCAGCAGAGGTGTTTTTATGTTCCAGGGTCTCAGCTGGAAACTAAAAGCGATAGAGTGTTTGCAGTCGGGGCCTCGAGGCTCTAAAATGATCTGCGTGAGAAAATCAGGTCGGCTGAGTCAGTGTTCTGACTCTTTAAAGTCTCTTCCTAAAACATACTTGTATCTGAGAGCCTTTTCCTGATTTTACTTGAATTTTAATTTCCTTATTTATTTCAATATTGTTTTAACGCTGAAGGTTTTTGCACATGATGATGTGTGTTTTTAAAAATATTTCATACCTTGTCTGTTTTATTTTGCTGCCTTGTAAAGCACTTTGCAACTTGGATATTAAAACGTGTTCCATAAATAAAGATTCTTATTATTAGAATTTATTTAGAGCTTTTCTGTTGGGCTTTATTACATGACACAGAGAGGTAAATGGGTTCATGTTAAAGGAACAGTTCAACATTTTGGGATTTTTTTCTTAACCTTCTTGCAAAGAACTAGTTGACATTATCACTGTTGTGTGTGCATTTAAGAAAAAAACAAGCAAGTTGACAGTTAGCTTAGCACAAACACTGGAACCACAGAGAAATCGATCCTTCCTGCACCTTCGAAACCCAATCATTTGTGTCGTAGTTATTGTTTGTTTAAGTGGGTGCTTCACAGGGGTTAAGTGGCACAATATTTCGCTGCTGATTGCTAATTCTTGTGCTGGTGGGCAGATTTTGTTAGTGAACGGTGCAGGACCTCATTTATATCGTTCTCCATTCATCTGTACAACAGTTCATCCCTCTGCATCAGATAATGCCTCTTCTCACAGTTTTGCACAAGTGTTAGTAGTATTTATTTCATTTTATTTTATTATTTTGTCTTGGCAAAAACAAACAAACAAAAAGAAAACAACAACAAAACAACTGTAAAATTGTAAATTGCACATATAGAAATCTTTGTATTGTATTCTTTTTTTTTACTGCTTGCTTTTTTATTTCTTATTTTTTTGTTTCATTTTTTGTATACTCTTATATAATTATTTACTTTGTGTTACTGTGCTGTCCTTGTGGATTAATAAAATTGATCTAAGTCAGACAGAGGCAGGCTAGCTGTTTCCCCCTGCTTACAGTCATTAAGCTAAGCTAAGCTAAGCTAACCTAACCAGCTGCAGTGGGAAAATTAGCTAACCTATTTATTTAAAGTGTCAACAAAATCTGCCTAATTTGCTGGTTTATTAGGCAGATCATTTTTGCCCTTCATCTACAAAGAAGTGATTAAACCAGTGTGTTTTGGCTCTCCTCCTCCTCTGCTGTGAGGGTTCCTTTTATTTTTTTCCTTTTCTCAAGCGCCCGCCCTCCCTGCTTAAGTTTGTCCCTCAGCGCGATCCGTCTTCCGTCCAGAAAAAAAAGCGACGGCCGAGAGCGACGCTCGCTGCTGATGTACCGCTGGCTCAAAAATGGAGAGCGACACCACCGTCCGGAGAATAAAACCCTTCGGGACGCAACATTATGTAGCTCAGGACAGCGACGGAGCCCGGGACCGGTGCGGGAACAACGGCTACAGCGCTGACCCGAAGAGGAAGCCCGAAGTGAGCCTGTACTTGCTGCGGGAAGCGCTGGCAGCGTCCCTGGTCTCTGTGTTTATTTTGGTGCTGTGGGGACTCGTTCATTTGTCGTTGCAGCAGCTTGTCATTGGAAAGCCGACCGGCGAGTTCAACGCAGTGAGAGCCAGGTGAGCTTTTCTGTTGTTGTGCTCGCTGTGACGCCTCGTTTGTCTGTTGTATGCTGGCTCGTGTTGTCAAAGCAGCGGAGCCCCCGACAACCTTTCCTCTAGTTTGGCAACAGACCTGCCTAGAAACCACTGCCGGGTTCCTCTTCCGGCCCACCTTTGCCTCTGAGGTAACCTGCACGCCGGACAGGTGTTGCAACGGCGTTTAACGGTTCGTGTCAGGAGAGGAGAAGTGCAGCAACCTCTGGGACTGATGCTCACATGATGCTTTTTCTTTATAAGCCTCAAACCAGCCCGAGATGCACAAGCACGAATATTAGCTCATGAAGTCGAAATCTAAACTTAAAAATAAAAGGCTGGAGAAAGTAGATGTTTTGATGCAGGTGAGGCGATGTGTGGTTGGTGTTTAACACAGAGGCAATCCTCAGTAATGCACTGAAACAGGAGTTGCATCATAAAACCTTGCAACTTAAATAAAAAACACAGAAAAAGCACTGTAAAAACCAATGCAAAGTAGGTGTTTAAAAAGAAAACCTGCATGCAAGTGGACAGTCACTCATTTCATTCATTCAATAAAAGTGAAACTGTAAAGCTCCACTTCTTCTTCTGCTGCATCCGCATGTAGTCACACCTTTGTTTTATATCCTGGTAATCTAAATAAGCATTGTCAATAAATCTCTGGGTAGTTGGACTTTTAGTGGGAGAAAAAACGAATATTTAAAGTAAAGCTGCAACTAGAGATTCTATTTATTGTCTGCCGTCATAGCAAAACTCTAACTATGGTTAAAAAAACAAACATTGTTGGCGGTTTATAGTGTAATCAGGCATGATCTTTACAATTATAGGTAATAAAATAGTATTATTTTAGATGTTTAGGTTGTCTGGTATGTCTAATGTTCTTGTTTATATTTGGAAGCTAAACTGTTATTAACCCGAGTTGTAGATATAAAGAAGCCTCTTTCATGATTATACAATGGGCCATAGTCTTTAAATATAACCCCATGAATGAAATTTACTTATTTACATGCATTAATAACATTTCAGCCACAGTGCAGGAATTGCATTCACTTTTGGCAAGTGGAAAACTTTGATAAGAATAAAGATTTACAAAAAAAACATGTGTGGGCACAGCTGCTGCGTCTCCATACAGTCAGTCTCTGTTTTATGTCCCAGTAATCTGAATACCTTTAGGTAGTTGGCCTTTTAGTAGGAGGGGAAAAAAGGCAATTTAAAGTGTTGCTCTTGATTAATCGGTTAGTTTTTTCGTCTGGGAAATGTCAGATAATGGTGAAAAATGTCTCGTATTTAATGTCTTGTTTTTCCTGCAACCAAAACACGTTCAGTTTACTGTTGTAAAGGAGTAAATAAACCAAAAGATATTCAAATTTAAGAAGCTGGAATTAGACAATATTGCCTATTTTTGCGTAAAAATACTCAAACCAATGCATTTAGTAGCTGTCAACTAGTCAGTTTATCCATTAATTGTTGCAGCTTTAAATGAAAGATGTCAAGTCTGGGGAACTTTATATTTTCTACATTAAATGATTAATCATTTATTTGAAAAATAATCCCTAGATTGATCGTTTATAGCTTCCCTACTCCACCTATACTGATATTTTATAGAACATTATTTGAACACAAAAGAAACAGCAGACAGGTCGATCAATAATAAATGCAGCCTGCGTGGCTATAGATAACAAACATCCTGTTCACTGAACGAAGCTGTAACGTTTTCAGATTAAAGGCCCGCTCGGCCTCACAGTGCAGCACCTTCTGTCAGTTTGTGATGAGGAGGGATGCAGGGATTATGGCACTGAATCTGAGGTCAGCAGGGCTGTGGTTGAGCTCTTGAAAGTGCTGGGTAGCGGGATTTGCCATCATTTGGCTGCTTGCTCCATAAGTGAGTCAGGCATGCTGCATTTGAACTGATTAGGGCTCTGAGCTTCTTTGGTCACAATCATGGCTTTCAGGAGTGCATGGCCTGCAAATCCAGATTTGAATTATAAGCATAAAACATTCCCTTGGAGGCTGCTGTAAAAATGGATTGGAGGCAGCAGCTCAGACATCTATGATATCATTTGGTGCCACTTTGTCGCAAGAAGCAGAAAGTCTCTGTTAGGTCGCAAGCAAAGGGACAAACAAACATTTATTTTTAATCTACGCTTGTAACAGCTGGACTACAACACATGGCTTCACCCGCTATGGTTTGATGACGGATATTATTCTCTCACCACTTCTAAACTTTACTTGCTGGTGGCTTTAAGCATCAGTTACCGCTGCAGGACTTATTCTGCTGTGGGCAACACGGAATATTTCTCAAACAGCTGTATCAAACACCAGCAGCAGCTGTTTTCTTTTAAAGAAAAAATGGGTAAAGGCATCTGTTTGGTCTTTTTACTCGGCCATATGGGCATCTTTGCTTTATTTCCTGGTGTACCTCTCTTAAGGGAGCCTGTGCAGTGAGAAGGATGATAAGGTCAGAGTCATACCGAAGCGTGACTCACTTTAATCCCACTGCACCTGGACAGTGGTTGTAACTCCGGGCCTGGAGACCTTTACAAGCTCGTTTATGAAAGACAAGTTCATTTTCTAAGCCTGACGTTTGCAGGGTCATCTCTGTCCACTTGTGTTCAACAGGGGAAAGTCGATGCTCTTTAATTTTTGATGTTACTTCCAGGACTGCCAGGAGTGATTCTTTTTTCTGTTGATCAATTTATTTTTTGACGTACAAAATATCAGAAAATAGTAAAAACAAAATGCTCAGTATGAATTCCAAGATGTGTTCTCTGTTCATGTAGTTTGTCCTAAACACTGAGCTATTCATTATACTATAAACAAGTCTTTATACTGAGGACGTGTGAACCACAACAGTTTCCAAATTTTTGCTTGAATGATGAAACTGTTGCTATTTGACGATCTGTCAGTCGCCTGATTGATTGTTGACACGTCGTTGTAACTCTACATGGACTCAAAGCAGATGTTCCTCCACACATCATATGAAATACTGTCTGTTTGGAACCACTAGAACTGTATGTCCCGGCATTGTTGTGCATATAAATAAGTAACTGGCAAAAGGGCTGAGCATAGTTTTCATTGACACAAATGAAAAAAGTTTGACTGCAGTTGTTTTTCTCACATACACGTAGACACATGTGCGGATCATGTGTATGTGTTTTCACCGTGTCAGCAACCTCTCCCATGTCTTCAGGAAATACATTTAATCTAATTTTAGTTTTAAAACCTCAAGATGGCTGCGGCTATACGTACAGTACATGAACACAGAGAAAGGCATTCAGTCATTCTTTCTAATAACAGCATCAGACTGTCATTCAGTTCTGAGAATAATGCTGATGGGATGGAAGATGTGGGCTTGGTTTACTGGTTCTTTACAGTTTAACAATATTCTCTTTCTCTCTTCACTCTTCACCATCTAGACTGCACTTAGAGCAGATCACCAGCGTTGGCCCTCGGCCGGTGGGCAGTCAGGAGAACGAGGTCCTGACAGTGGGCTACTTGTTGGAGCAGATTGAGAAGATCCGCCTGGAGACGGCAGCAGGCCCCCATCAGCTCACTGTAGATGTGCAACGTCCCACCGGCTCCTTTTCCATCGACTTCCTCGGAGGTTTCACGAGCTTCTACGACCGTGTCACCAACATCGCTGTCAGGCTGGAGCCCAAAAGTGGCACGCAGCACCTCATGCTCGCCAACTGCCACTTTGACTCCGTGGCCAACAGTCCAGGTAACATTTATTCACACTTATTTTAAACAGATCTGCCTTTTGAGCCTCTATGAGCTCTGAGACACTAAAAGTGGCTGAGCTTGTATATTTTGTTTTTTAAAAAAAAATGCAGCACACACCTTGCGTGTAGGTACATGCAGAAAAACGCCTGTGGGCCAGATGTAAACTGCCAGAAAACAACTGACTTTCCCATGCTTGTCTTTGACTGAGTAGAACAGAATATTCATGTGAGCGATACATTTTGCATGCTGGATTAAATCTGTCTGGTTAAATCTGCTACTACAACACCTCAAGTGCCATTTGTACACCATAAATGATACAGTTTTACTAGTGGTGGACCGATGTAGGTTCCTGATGCCAATATTTAGAGAGCANCTAATGTTTACATTTCAATCAGTGCATTGCTCTGTGTGAGAAGAAGCTGATGAAAAGCATCTGTCTTTATTTACGTCTCTCTTAGGCGGTCGCTATGTTCGAGACCTGGCCTGTGCCACGGGCGTGGCGGTGCTGAGCTGGTTCGTCACCCTGCTGTCGGTACTGATCGTGGCTCTGCTCGTCACTCTGCTGGGCCGCTCCATGTTTTGGTACAACCATTTCTACGCCTCCATCTGCCTGTATGGAGCTGCAGCCACTGGCAAGATGATCCTCATCCACACACTGGCCAAGAACTTGTACTACGGGGTGAGTGATGGAGTTTGTGATGGAAGGCTTCCTGCAGCTTTGGACAGTAACTTTAAAGAGCAAACAGGGAATCTGTAGCGAAATAAATGCGCCAAATATAAGGTGTGCTCCAATTATCATGAAAGTGTAGTTAGCCTTGATTGAAAAGTCACATTATGCATCACTTTAAAAGATGAGCTTCTATCTGAATTACACTTGTGTTTGTTAAATGGGAATGCAAAAGGGAGAGCTGTGTTGAAACTGAAACTAGAATAATATCTTAAATAATTCATCTGGTGTTGATTTTGTTTAATTCAGCATCACCACATCAGTCTGGACTCTTTCTGGTTCCCTTTTGCATTCACTGTCTGACGTGAAGAAGAGATCACATTATTTCCCTGAGCCTCATATTTCGCTGAACTCACATTTAATGAGAGCTAAAGTGCAGAGAGGACAAAGTCAGACGGTTCCTCTTCCTCCACAGCGATTACAGAACAGCAGCTCCTTTTTGTAAATGTCCACGTATGTGTAATACTGAGCTGTAGCGGTGGAATACAGACAGTCATCTGTCAGTCACATGCACACGCTTATTGACCAAATCATCATCATCTGCTGCTGAGAACCAGTTGACTCGCCTCTCTGGGCTTTTTGTTGCCGTTGGGAGTATCTTGTGCTTTTCCAGCTATCAAATGTTAGCATCTCTGCTCGCTAATTGGAAAGCCTGCTTCTTTGCATTCTTTCAAAAAGATTGTTGGAGCTTTTTTTGGTGAAGTCTTCTGATCGTTTTAGGTAGGACGGGATGTTTGCAAGTCAGTATGCATATTGTGTGTTTGACATTTAGTTGTTTTAAGTGTTGATTTAGAGTTTAAAACATTGCAGAAAATGGATTTTCTTCTGGAGCTGCAGCTTACCACAATATTAACTCCAGCTTACCATGGACATTTTCCAGAAGGAACACAGACTAACCTTTTGTCCCAGATTACGTAACGCTTCAGTGTAACAAAATCTCTATTGAAAGGCCAGAATGTATCTTTGCCCGAATTCTGAATGGTATTTTCCTAAAAAGTCCTGAACAGATACAACCAGCGCATTTTGTTTTATTGAACAGACAAATCATTAGTCATGATGTAGATAAAATACATTTTAAAAATACACATTTATGCAAATAGTTTGAAGGATTCTAGTCACACTCAGCCCTTGTCTTTCATTTTATGTTCCCTTTAGTTCATAGTTTAGAATAAAGCAGTGGCCAATGTTTAAAAAAATAAAGTCCCCATTGTAGGAAATACTATGTCACTGATTCCTTCTCCCTTATTATTATTATTTTTTATCCACAACAGTCATGAGTTAGTGATTATCTTATTTGCAGTTTGAATCAGAAGAAAAATAACGTCATTGTGAAGTGATATAAAACTGAAAACTGCGATGGTGCCCAGAGAAGAGAGGAGTTGAGCAAACAGCCCGGTTTGTCCATGATTCTCAGTGAACATTTTAACAGTTTGCAGATGCTCTTACTTCCTCAAGATTCTCATGGCACATTTGAGTTAATGCGTTGATTATTTTGTTGACATTCGGATGTTTGTCACGATAGAAGTTTTGGAAAAAAATGGAAACCAATTGTTCAGAAGTAAATTTCAGTAACATTTATTTGTGCTGATATCTAAAACAAGCAAAAAAACAAACAAACTTGGATTTATCAGCAAAATTAAGAGTATTAAGTTTGATCAAGATGATGAATTTGTTGCTTCATGTAATCATTGATAATAAGGACTTTCAGAGAACTTTCTTCTACTGTAGCAAGTTTTTTTTTGGTAAAACATATCAGTCGATTCACAGCCTATCAAAGATCCATCCATCCATCGTCTATACACCTGTTAATCCTGACTAGGGTCGTGGGGGGGCTGGAGTCTATCCCAGCTGGACAGGTAACCAGTCTATCACAGGGCTACACTTAGAGACAGGCAACCAAGCACACTCACATTCACACCCACTGACAATTTAGAATCACCAATTAACCTCAACATGTTTTTGGACCTTGTGGGAGGAAGCTGGAGAACCCGGAGAGAACCCACGCTGCCCGGGGAGAACATGCAAACTCCATGCAGAAAGATCCCATGTGTCGTGAACCGGCGACCTTCTTGCTTGTGAGGCAACAGTGCTAACCACCGACCCACCTTGCTGCCCCCCCTATCAAAGATGCACACAGTAAAGCCCAAAGCCTCTAATCTGCTCCTGCATCTATCTTGTGTGTTTTCCTCGCAGGGTGTCCGTCTGGTGGAGCTGGGAGATCTGTACTTCGACGTGAGCCTGCTGCTGTGGTGCTGCAGCCTGGTGTGGCTGACCCAGCAGGGCCTGTGTTCGGCCTACGTGCCCATGCTAATGGTAGCTTTCCCCCTGGCCACCAGACTGCTGCTGGCGAAAGAATTTAAACACAGAGGTAAATGCTCAGCCTCAACGCCACCCTGTTTGTCACCATTTATCTTGTAAAGTTACAAGTAAGGACTCCGACTGAGATGCCCCCAGTATATAATTCTTTGGTTGATTATTAATACTTAACGATAAGAGATAAATCATCACAATCTCTAAACCTGCTTCTCGTAAGCCTCCCAGCAGCCGAATCAAACTCAGCATGCTCTTATGTGTTTAGACTCTGGTACATTCTCATTTTAAGTTAAGGTAAACCTCTCATTAATTGATGGAAGTAAACAAAGATTAACCCTCAGCTGTTGTGTATCGCTACCTCCTGCCGCTCACATGACTTAAGACCTCTTCATTCTTAAAACAAAGTGCTTGTCAGATTGTAAATAGCTTTGGAAACCCCCTCATTTACGGCATAATCAGGGGAGATTATGAAGACGTGCAAAAGCCACAGAGCTGTTGCAGTAATCAGGGAGGCCGTGGGATGTAGTCAGGATGGTCGGGAGGCTTTTTACCCGCCTTCAAGTTCAGAGCAGCCATAAACACTTTTACCTCAAGACGTAATTTACGAAGGGCTTGTCATAGCTGTGGAGCAGCCAGAAGATTCCAGCCTCATGGCCTCATCCTTGGCTGGTTTGGTTCGGTCTGACTAACTCTTTTCCTCCAGGAGCGTCAGTGAAATACAGCGTGCTCTACCTGCTGGGCCTGGCGTTGCCTTATGTCCACTTCATGTTCCTCATCTGGGTGGTGTTTGAGATTTTCACACCCATCATGGGCCGCAGCGGCACCGAGATTCCTCCTGAGGTGGTGCTGGCCACCTTGGTCACCCTGGCAACCATCTTCCTCTCCTCTTTTTTTGTGAGTATTCCCACATTATGTGCGATAAAGAACAAATCTGGGTTTGCTTTCTCAAGCAGGAAGGCAGTGTACGAATGAGGAAGTGTAGGCAGGACAGAAAATACGTGACTAAACAATCGTTTTTAAGCTTCTGGGAGCAACATTTGTTTGAAACAGGAAATAGTTTATTTTACCTTCAGACAAATAAAACAACGGAGGTCGTAAAATTTAATGCACAGCTCACAGACTGTGGCCTTAGCTTTCTTTTTTTGTTGTTTTGTTTTTTTAAAAGGATATTTGTCTTAATAAAATACAAAAAAAAACCATTTTCTGTAATTTCAACATACTACAGTGTAGATTGTTCCTTCCGCCGGTTCAATAACACTTTTTACTGTCTGTCTCAGCTGCATTTCATCTACTTGGTACGGAGCACAAAGTGGATCCTGGCTGGTCTCGGCTCAGTCTTCATCATCATGTTCCTGCTGGTGTCCTGCGGCCTCTTCTTTCCTTATTCCGGCAGTCCGGATAGCCCGCGACCAAAGAGAGTCTTCCTTCAGGTTGGAAGTCACAACACACATACAAACCCAAATGCACATAGAAACTTAGACACAGATATGTCTGTGAAGATTCTCAGTCATCCAGGTCATGGTTATTCTTGGAGATTAATCGTAGCAACTGGATTTGCTTGAGTTCCTTGAAGACGTTCCACCTCTCATCCAAGAGGCTTCATCAGTTCTGACTAGTTGGGAGTTCTAGACACTCATATCCTGAAGGAGCCATTAACACCTGAGTTTCACTTGGGAGTTTGTTGCTCCTCCCCCTCGTTATATGGGTCGTTAGTGCTCCCTCTGCCACAAAGGGGTTCGTTAGAGTCTTTTGTGGCGAGGTGTGAATGTAGTGGAGAGATCTTAGGACTGAATTGTAAACAGGTGAAACATGATGCCTCAGACCTCCACCTCTGTTGAGGGATGATCTTTCCAGTTTGACAGAGATGGCTTCTTTCACCCCTCTCTCAAACCATCTGTCCTCCCTGACCAACGTCTGCATGTTGTTGTCTTTGAATGAGTGTTCGTTGTCCTTGTAGCAAGTCGAGTTGCTACGATTAATCTACCGGAATAGATACAGATGTTTTTCTGTTGACGGGTAGAATCCAGGCGAAGATGAATGATGATTGTAGACTCAAACAAAAAGCACAGAAGATGAATGGAAATGTTTGACTGTTGGTTCTAACTAATCAGAGCAACATAAACAGAATAAACAATGTGCATAATCAGTGAGGGATGAGACAAACTTGGGAAGATATAATTAGCATATGTAAACAAGTCATTTCTAAACAACTAAATGCAGAAGCTGAAATACCCCAAAGTGTGTTAAATGGAACTCATATCAGCGGTTTGGCTCACTCAACAGCTTTTAAAGAAGCTCGATATTCTGCAGTAAAGGTCAGGAAGAGAACTCACACCTCCTTTACAGGCTGCTCATCAGCCAACTCCAGGTTTCTCCATATGCAGCTTAACATTTATCAAAATGTTAGATTGAAAGTGAGAAAAATGCCCCCACTTAGATGAAATAAGCACAAAAGCAATACGCAGTAACTGCAGAATTACCTTTTGTGATTGACCATCTTGCAATGCGTTTCCCTGCCTGCACGATTCAAATCTCTTGGGAGCATATTTTCCATCTGCATGGGTGTTTTTTTTTTTCCCCCACTCATTTTTTTGTAACTGCAAAAAAAAAAAAAACCCTGCTCTGATTCCAGTCCTCCACCTGCTCATTAATCACAGGAAGCTCCTTTCAGACACTTGGTGAGATAGACGCAGTACGAAGCAGGTTGGAGGAAAGCGTGTGTGTCGAAGATCTGAATTAATATACGTTTTTTAAAAATGCTTATCGGTCTCCCTGCAGCACACAACACGGACCTTCCACAACCTCCAGGGCCAGGTGGAGAGCCGAGACTCGGGCCTGTGGATAAACAGTTTTGACTTCACGGGCATACAGCACGTCACGCCTCACATCCCCGAGATCAACGACAGCGTTCGGACCCGCTGCCGGGAGGACCGGCCCTTCTGCGGTTACCCCTGGTTCCTGCCTGTGAAGTTCCTCAGCAAGTCAGTACTGCAGCCTTGTAGCTTGTCTTCATGCTCTTTTGTTTAACACTGTTTCCTCTTATATCACAGTAAAGGCTGCTTTTTTTTTTTACTTTCTTTACTTTCACAAGTACGTTTGGTGTGTTTGTAGGAAGAACTGGTACCTGCCGGCTTCAGAAGTGTCTCCGAGCTCTCCGGTGGAGTTCAGCCTGCTGTCCAAAGAGGAGACGAGCTGGGGGACGGTCAAGATGACGTTTAGCGCTAAAGGTCATGAACAGTTTATACGAACTGAGTTTCAAAGTCGGAACAAGACAAGTTTACCTTTAAGTCATTTCAGCTAGAGCNATAATACAGATATCATGTTTTTATTTACGACCTGTTCAGGGTGTCCCCTGCCTTCGCCCTAAGTCGGCTGGGATAAACTCCAGCCCCCCGCGACCCTAGTGAGGATTAAGCGGTGTATAGATAATGGATGGAGGGATGTTTTTATTTCTTTTTTTGCACCCATTAAGTGATCCATCCATCCATTATCTATACACTGCTTAATCCTCACTGGGTTGTGGGGGGAGCTGGACAGGTCACTAGTCCATCACAGGGCTGCACTTAGAGACAGACAACCAAGCACACTCACATTCACACCGACGGACAATTTAGAATCACCAATTAGCCTCAACGTGTTTTTGTGGGAGGAAGATGGAGAACCTGGAGAGAACCCACGCTGCATGGGGAGAACATGCAAACTCCACACAGAAAGATCCCAGGTGTCCTCACCGGAACGTGAACCGGCGACCTTCTTGCTGCGAGGCAACGGTGCTAACCTCGAGCCACCTTGCTGCCCCCCCAATAAATCACAACAATTTAAAAAAACAGTAACAAATGAAACACAAAGTTCAAGTGAACATCCGACTCTTCCCGTTGCCAGCGCTCTCTGCTGTGCTGCTGATTTATCTTAGCTCGTATGTCTTAGCACAACAGTCCGATGGTTCTCTGTGTGCTTCTCCTTCTTTTTCCCACTCAGTGTGCGTCTTGTTCAGTTTTGCCTCCTTGATGATATTCGTCATAAATATAGTCTGAAATGTTGGAGGCTTATACGTGCTGGACAGCGTGCCATTAGCTGCAGCAGCTAGTCAAGCCATAGAAGCACCACAGATTCCCTGTTAGCTGCCCCACTAGTAAGTGACTGAGCCAGTTGTTGGCTGATTATCTCAAAGTCACATTTTTTTCTATGACATTTTTGTATTTTTTGTGTGTCCTGACCACGCAAGCTACCGAAAGGTTTGTCATAAAGTTTTGCACAGACATTTACGGCCCGCTGAGGATGAAGCCTGCAGACTTTGGTCCCCATGAGGTTCACATTTCTGGTTCAGAGCGACATATTTTTTTTGTTGTTGTTGTTAAATTTACATTCACGGCCCCCAGAGGCCAAAATGTAAACTTTGATTTCCTTGCTTTTTCCTGTAGCCTCTCAAATCTTTGTTCCTCACCGTTGTTTGCAAACCACTGCCGTCCGACATGCAAGTCCTCGAGTGGCTCGTGATAATAATGCCCTTATTTGTGTCCTGTGTTGTGTGCTGTTGTCACGTGGACCACAGAGTGTGAAATTTAGGCAGCAACAGCAGTCCAGTCCTGAAAACTTGAATCCCTCTTTTAAATTTATTACAAACAACCGCATTGTACTCTGAACAGGAAGTTGCTTAGAGGGTGTCATAAACTGTTTAGTCTGCACAGAAATAGCAGCAGTTTGCTAATGATATGTATCACATTGAAATCTGTAGTCATCGCCCTATCTTGGGTCTGGTTTTAATTCAGGGATTTTTTTCACTGTTCAAACTCCACACCGCACCCCCGAAGCCTGTTGAGAAGACATGTTTTCCTAGTTCACATTCTCTCATACGTACACAGCCTCACCGGTAAAAGGAACTTGATCCAAGAGGTGTGGACCGGGAAGATACACACACAATTTCACGTCCACTGCTGCTTGCCAAGCCTTTGATTTCTTGGAATTCTAAACATTTCTTCATGTGAAAAATAATAAAGGAAGAGAGGAAAGTATAAAGACAGGCAGAGCATTGTCTTGCGCATGTTTTCGCCTGCATAAGTTGAATATATGTGTGGGTAAGACGCCAATAATCGGATAATTTAATTCTTGTACTTCTAGTAACATATTTCCAATTTCAGGCCCGCTCAGGCTTTGATTTATGCATGGAATGTTCTGAACTCTCACAGAGCTTCTCTGGGACGAGGATTAATATGTCGCTGACATAAGTGGCACAGACAGGAGCCTGAATGGTACCCAGGCAGACAGTGAACCGGCCCCCACCCCCCGCCTCATGAACACATTCAATCTAGAAATCCAGAGCACATGATGTCTCCGTTTGGCTGTCTGATCTTTGAGTCATTTTTTTTTCCCCCTCCTCCCTTTTCTTTGCATTTATTCTCAGTCGGTTGTATCCCTCACCACTAACCTGTCTAATCTTTTTTATATCACATGCCCAGTTCACATGCTCTTTTCCTTTCTTCTCTCTGTTGCCCGTTTTCCCTTCGTGCCCTCGCCGTCACACAAAAGAGTTTTTTAGGCAGCTTGTTGCATTCTTCGCATGTTTCCACGCCGAGCCTACTCCCTCCGTCCTCGTGTGTTTGCGACTTTGCCCTGCTGCACTTGAGAGTTATCAGCTCTGCCATCTGTGTTTTTTATCTCTCGCTGCTCCGGCGGCTCAGGACAAAAGGGTGAAATGGATGCACAAAACTGCTTGCCTCTGTGTGTTCACTTCAGGTCAAAACAAATTCCTGTTGCCTGATAAACATGAGCGGCTCACAGCTAGTGTTCTTGACACACATACACAGTTTGTTTCTTGTTGTAGGTGCCAGCGATGACGCAGTGAGTTGTGCAGTGATGCTGGAAGTCCTCCATTCTCTGGCCAACCAGTCCTCCCCTCTTCACCACGGAGTTATCTTCCTCTTTAATGGGGCAGAAGAAAATGTGCTGCAGGTAAAATGAAGCACAACACGGCACACTTTAGATGTTATACCAGAGTGTTCACAGCACTTTTGAGGATCATTTAATTTAAAACTCTTGTCTTGATATTTTCTCCATCTCATTTTTACTTGTCTGTCTCTCAATCTCTCCAACAGGCCAGTCACGGTTTCATTACCCAGCATCCATGGGCCAAGCAGGTGCGAGCCTTCATTAACTTGGAGGCTGCAGGTGTTGGGGGAAAGGAGGTTGTTTTCCAGACAGGTACTGATAAATTGGCTTGCTTTGTTTGTTATCATGCTTTTCTCCTTGTTTGTTTTGGAAGTTTGTGTGTGCGGCCTTCCAGCTGCACTTATTTCTCCTATAAATGGTAAAGCTTGCAAAAAATGCACGCAGTTTTTTTCCTTTTAATGACGCAGATTGTCTGAAGTAGAGACACTGCTGCAGTTCTGAGAATCACAAGTTTTATAGTATAAAAATATCCTTATTCACTGCCCCACATTAGAACCGCCAAATAGAGGGATACATATACATATATATAACCATGATTATCTTTCTTTGTTTATGTTATCTATCTTGAATGACTTCTCTGTTTTATTTAGCTGCCTTGTGATGCAATTTTTAACTCGGATGGTTGAAACGTGCTCTATAAATAAAGATTATTATATTATTACACAATGATTACTTAATGCAGCAAAACTTGGGACTCCTGGTAACTGTCCAGTGTCTAAAATATCTCAGCAGCTGTTCCTTCCTTCCTTCCCCGAAGGCCCAGAGAACCCATGGCTGGTGCAGGCCTACGTTCATGCCGCCAAACACCCCTTCGCCTCTGTGGTCGGCCAGGAGGTCTTTCAAAGTGGCATCATTCCCTCCGACACCGACTTTCGCATATACAGGGACTTTGGTAACATCCCAGGTTAGACCAACAACTGTTGCAGCACAGTTTATAAATTAATAATGAAAGCATGAAGCTTTTCTATGTCAGAGTCAGAGAGAAAAATACTGTGGGCGATACAAAGACAAAGCAGCTACCTTTTTATGTTTTACGCTTTAATTGTATTCTCTGTCTTTGTGTGTGTTTTCTTCCAGGCATTGATCTGGCCTTCATTGAAAACGGTTTCATCTACCATACCAAGTACGACACTGCAAACAGGATCCTGACAGACTCGATACAGAGAGCCGGTAAAAGACAGATCACAAATGTGTTCGTGCTCACACTTTTGTTTAACTGTCAGTTTAAATAGAATCAGCAGTTTGAGCTGATGGGTGTGTCAGTGTGTTAGCATGACAACAGTCACTGCAGCAGCGTTTTTCTGTCGCAGGCACCAACGCATGAGGTGCATTTATGTTTTGTCCTCCAGTCCCGGGTTGGTCAGCAGTGCCCTGATCGCATTATTTCTCGGAGGACTCAGGAATGCATACATACATACCAGCTGCAGGCTGTTGCCCTCATTTACCTTGCGCTTCTGTGTTGCTGAATTATTTTGCTTTACTTAGCAGAGAATCCAGTCAGTCAGCACTAAAAACCCGAGACAGTTGGCATCTTTCCTCTCTCGCTCAGCAGCTACTGGACATCTCCCTCCTCTTCTTCTGTGCGCAGCAACTCGCCATGAAAGGCATGAATTATTAGAGAGAGAAAGTGAGATTTCAGAGGGAGGTAGAAGGTATTTTTAGTCTGTGAAGAAGGAGGCAGAACAATTTTCTAAGGTGGAGAGTAGGACACAGCCCAGAAGAAGAAGAAGAAGAAGATACACCAGTAGCTCGGCCCTTTTGAAGCTGGTGATGAATACAGCAGATATTTGGCCTCGTCTTAAAAAAATCTGCTGCGGGTTTTTGGACAGAGCGGGGCAAGGTGCAAGACTCGCAGGGCTTGGAAGTCATAGTGAAACTAAGAAGGGAACCTTGTGGGGAAAATCACAAACAGTGAGAACCCCACATGAACAAGTAGATGTGAGTTGTTTGCACTGTTTGGCCGCAGCGAGCCTACCAGGCGGAAGAACAATGGAGCTTTGTCTCGCCTGCGTGTGTGCGTTGTTAACTGTGCAGACGTGGAGGCAGCAGTGCCGAGAGCAGCACAGATAAAAGAAACTTTGCCTCAGCTGCGATAACACACACACACACACACACAGCCTCTTTTTAATGGTCTTTCATGTTAGCAGATTTCTCATCTACACTCAACGTCATGTTTGCAGCGCTTGTCAGTCAGAGCGGTGGTATAGGAGAAGTAATTGATTTAATATAGAACACGTAGGAGTCAGAATGTCTATCAGTATGATCTTATTGTCTTCTCTTACATATCCTGTCATGGGGGAAACTATTATCTGAGTGTGAGGGTACAGTTGTAGAGAGATTTGTAGAAGATACTTGTATGTGTTGGAGTAGTGTGTGTGTGGAAAGTTAGTGTTGTATGTGCAAGATTACATCCTCTATTGTCATTCATTCATCTCACAGAACTGTTTATGTGTTGTCGTTACCATAAAATAAGAATGCACATGAATAAGCCTCGACACACAGACCACTATTTACTAGAAGTATATCTTGTTTATTTACTTGTTTACAGCTTTATTACTGCAGAAAATACTTTCCGGACGACCTTGTAATGGCTTGTTCTGCTGTTCAGACGGTTACCATCAGTAAACTCTGCCTGCATGTGAACCATTGACTTCCTCTGACTGTGGGAGCAGAACTACAAACCAAAAAACCCACAATTAGGTTGAATTCCTTGTTTGACCATTTCTACGACTTCATTTTCTCTCCCAGCCAGTTGTAATTATACAAGTCGATTGTACATTTTTGTCTGACCGGAGCGTCGCCGTTGACGTTTCACCTCTTTGCTCGCCGTCTTGTTTCCAGGCGACAACATCCTGGCAGTCCTGAAGTACTTGGTAATGTCAGAGAAGTTGGCCGACTCCTCCGAGTATCGTCATGGCAACATGGTGTTTTTCGACCTGCTGGGGGTAGTCGTGGTGGCTTACCCGGCTCGAGTCGGCACCATCCTCAACTACATGGTCGCCACGGCCACCTTCCTCTATCTGGCCAAGAAAGCCTCACTGCCTGGCAATGGAGGTAAGTTTCCATTTCCTGCAGACGATGTATGGCATTTCCTCTACTGCTTATGTGTGCTTTGTGTTTTCCTCTTCCTCCTCTTTAGGACTTTTTCACAAGTACTTTCCTTGGAGAATTGTAAATTAAGGTTCAACCCATCCAAATGTACGGTTGTCCTCAAATGCATTCATACCCTTCCATTAAAGAAAAGGCAAAATTCACAATAGTCACTCAAATAACTAGAAACTGAAAAAAGTAATAATAAATAAAAATATGCAAAATTATAATTTAGTGCAGTGGTTCTTAAGCTGGGAGTCCCAAGATAATTTCAGGGAGTCACCAGATCATTGTAAAAAAAATAAAAAATAAAAATAAAATAAAGCCTATATTTATCAAATAAATTAGTATTAGGGCTGTCAAAATTAAAAGTGTATACTTCTTCCCCACTCCTTTTTCTGACTTGTTAATATTGTGATTTTATTATGTGATATTATTGTTCTTTTTTGCTCTTTTTTAAAAATTTTTATATAATTTTTTTCCCTTTAATTTGTTCTAAATAAATTCAGTTCATTCATTCGTTCAAAAGAAAATTAACGTGCTAATGTAAAGAGATAAATCTGTGGAATTAAATTAAAATGATATTATAATTATATTAACAATTCAAATTGCGGGGTCATGAACACAAACTTATGTTATCTTGGGGGTCGTGACTCAAAAAATTTGAGAACCTCTACTTAGTGAAATAAGACGTTGCTTTTGAATTGTGGTTGAAAAGAATAATTTAAAAATCAAACAAAACTGTCCAAATAAAGCACTTTGCTGATGAGCAGTGAAATTAAAATAGCTGTCAACAGGTGCAGAAGTCTGATTGAGAGTTACAGAGAACACAAGATTGCAGTGATTGGCTCAAAGGGTTGTTCAACTAAATATTAGTTTACGGGTCCCATCATGCTTGTTTGCTTGTGTATTTTGAATCACAGTTAAAAAGCAATGTCATTATTTTCATTCATTTTTATTTATTATTGCTTTTGTCAATTTCATCTTATTTCAGTGACACCTGTTTTTTTTCCTTCTTTAATGAGAGGGTATAAATACATTTAAGGACAACTGTATAATCTCAGGATATTTTAGCTAATGTTTACATTTCAATCAGTGCATTGCTCTGTGTGAGAAGAAGCTGATGAAAAGCATCTGTCTTTATTTACGTCTCTCTTAGGCGGTCGCTATGTTCGAGACCTGGCCTGTGCCACGGGCGTGGCGGTGCTGAGCTGGTTCGTCACCCTGCTGTCGGTACTGATCGTGGCTCTGCTCGTCACTCTGCTGGGCCGCTCCATGTTTTGGTACAACCATTTCTACGCCTCCATCTGCCTGTATGGAGCTGCAGCCACTGGCAAGATGATCCTCATCCACACACTGGCCAAGAACTTGTACTACGGGGTGAGTGATGGAGTTTGTGATGGAAGGCTTCCTGCAGCTTTGGACAGTAACTTTAAAGAGCAAACAGGGAATCTGTAGCGAAATAAATGCGCCAAATATAAGGTGTGCTCCAATTATCATGAAAGTGTAGTTAGCCTTGATTGAAAAGTCACATTATGCATCACTTTAAAAGATGAGCTTCTATCTGAATTACACTTGTGTTTGTTAAATGGGAATGCAAAAGGGAGAGCTGTGTTGAAACTGAAACTAGAATAATATCTTAAATAATTCATCTGGTGTTGATTTTGTTTAATTCAGCATCACCACATCAGTCTGGACTCTTTCTGGTTCCCTTTTGCATTCACTGTCTGACGTGAAGAAGAGATCACATTATTTCCCTGAGCCTCATATTTCGCTGAACTCACATTTAATGAGAGCTAAAGTGCAGAGAGGACAAAGTCAGACGGTTCCTCTTCCTCCACAGCGATTACAGAACAGCAGCTCCTTTTTGTAAATGTCCACGTATGTGTAATACTGAGCTGTAGCGGTGGAATACAGACAGTCATCTGTCAGTCACATGCACACGCTTATTGACCAAATCATCATCATCTGCTGCTGAGAACCAGTTGACTCGCCTCTCTGGGCTTTTTGTTGCCGTTGGGAGTATCTTGTGCTTTTCCAGCTATCAAATGTTAGCATCTCTGCTCGCTAATTGGAAAGCCTGCTTCTTTGCATTCTTTCAAAAAGATTGTTGGAGCTTTTTTTGGTGAAGTCTTCTGATCGTTTTAGGTAGGACGGGATGTTTGCAAGTCAGTATGCATATTGTGTGTTTGACATTTAGTTGTTTTAAGTGTTGATTTAGAGTTTAAAACATTGCAGAAAATGGATTTTCTTCTGGAGCTGCAGCTTACCACAATATTAACTCCAGCTTACCATGGACATTTTCCAGAAGGAACACAGACTAACCTTTTGTCCCAGATTACGTAACGCTTCAGTGTAACAAAATCTCTATTGAAAGGCCAGAATGTATCTTTGCCCGAATTCTGAATGGTATTTTCCTAAAAAGTCCTGAACAGATACAACCAGCGCATTTTGTTTTATTGAACAGACAAATCATTAGTCATGATGAAGACAAAATACATTTTAAAAATACACATTTATGCAAATAGTTTGAAGGATTCTAGTCACACTCAGCCCTTGTCTTTCATTTTATGTTCCCTTTAGTTCATAGTTTAGAATAAAGCAGTGGCCAATGTTTAAAAAAATAAAGTCCCCATTGTAGGAAATACTATGTCACTGATTCCTTCTCCCTGATTATTATTATTTTTTGTCGACAACAGTCATGAGTTAGTGATTATCTTATTTGCAGTTTGAATCAGAAGAAAAATAACGTCATTGTGAAGTGATATAAAACTGAAAACTGCGATGGTGCCCAGAGAAGAGAGGAGTTGAGCAAACAGCCCGGTTTGTCCATGATTCTCAGTGAACATTTTAACAGTTTGCAGATGCTCTTACTTCCTCAAGATTCTCATGGCACATTTGAGTTAATGCGTTGATTATTTTGTTGACATTCGGATGTTTGTCACGATAGAAGTTTTGGAAAAAAATGGAAACCAATTGTTCAGAAGTAAATTTCAGTAACATTTATTTGTGCTGATATCTAAAACAAGCAAAAAAA